CGCTCCGACTAATTGGTTTGCCGTCTATGTGAATTAGTCGGCCGCCTATGGTGCCTAGTTGCCCGCCTAAAGCACCTAATCGGCCGCCTAGGCTGCCTAGATTCACCGAACATTACTTCACCTTTTAATTTTAATTTTCTAAGCAATATACATACTTTAACTTTAGCCATGGATATAAAGAAATGAAGTTGTAAATTAAGATAAAACTATATAATTTGTATATATACCTAAATTTTATCATTATTTATATTTATAACATTATTAACATAATGAAGTTAAGTGATTGGTTATCATATACTACGTTTGATTAAATGTGATAATTCTATCATTCATGTTTTTTTGGTAAATCATTTATGTTTGTTAATGTATATGTATATATGTATTTTATACACACAAAAATATACAATATTACTTATCATATTTATGCAAAAATATAGATAAAAAGGCAATTTCTATGTTTCCGACTAGTCCCCGACTAGGCGCCCAGGCGCTAGGTAGTGGGCTGGCGCCCGACTAGCGCCTAGCGCCTTTTAGAACATTGATAATAATAATAATAATAATAATAATAATAATAATAATAATAATAATAATAATAATAATAATAATAATAATAATAATAATAATAATAATAATAATTATTATTATTATTATTATTATTATTATTAATATTATTATTATAATAAAAGGGATAAATCATGTCTGAACTTTTCTGATCTGATCTGAATGATTCTGATCTGATCTGAATGTTTCTGATCTGATCTGAATCATTCTGATCTGATATGATCTGAATTTTTCTGATCTGATCTGATCTGAATGAAATAAGAATAAGCAATAAGTAATAAGATTAAGACGAACAGAACAGTTTCTTAGTATGGATCGGGTGCCTAGTGCCTACAGCCCTACAGGCTACTATTGAAAAGAAAAACTCAACTAATCTATTTTTGAAAAGTATTTTAAAAGGTGAAAAAAGTGATATTACTTACCGTTTTAAGCAATTTGTGAAAAAAATTGTATTTATTTACACTCTTCTTAACAATTTATGGCTTCTCAATTTTTTGTTTGTTATGTACTTCAGTACTTAGCTTAGAAACTTAACTTTTGAGGTTTGAAAATTGAAATGATGATAATTTTGAACGTATTTGTATTTCTCATATATTTGAGTTTTTAATGTCTTTATGTGACAATTTTAGCAATTATTTGTATAGTAGGAGACTTTAAAAAATAAGAACTCAAAATTGACAAGAACAAAACATTAGACTTTAAAAAATAAGAACTCACATTTGCCGAGGCACGATTTTGACCATTAATATATATAACTCTCTATTAGTAAGAAAAAATTTAAAAAAAAAATCATATTTTGAAAATTTACAATGAGACAAATTTAATAATATTTTTTTCAAAAATATAAATTAATACATCACTAAATAAAATGTAGTCAAAGTAGAACATGTGAATAGTGTAAAATTTGCAATGTTTGCACTTATTTATGAACAGAGGTAGTATATCGGTTGTAAAAAATATAAGAAACGAACCAATTTTAAGAGTTTGGGATTATTTACATGACTCCATTGAACTGAACAATCCGACTATTATCTGAGGCCTAATCTAAATGGAAGTATTTTCTTTTATAGTAAGTCTTAAATAATCTTTTACATAGTAATTCCGAGTTTTTTTCCAGAATAATGCAAAATAAAAAAGTATTTACAAAATTAAGGTCAGATTAAAACTATTTACCAAAATACTGTTGAAATAAACTAGGGTTAGTGAAAGCTGCCAAACCATTTGGCTACTCTCTCAATAATACGGAGGAACTCCGTACAAGCAAAGCCAGAGACTAGCAGGTATGGGAAGAGGTGGGGCCAATGTAGAAAAAAAACCTCTTTTTCTTTTAAATGGCTATAACTTCCATATTTTTGCTCCAAATTTTTTAAAAAATATATCAAATTTTATAATTTTTTGTGATCTTTCATATGACATCAATATGTAATATATAAAGTTTATAAATTTTCTGAAGACCATATGGGGTAAAAAAAACTAATTGCAATTATCCACTATCAATAAATTTAATTCTCATCCAGTTTAAGCCAAAACATTCTATTCACTCTGTCAATTCAATTTTTCAATATATTTACCCAACATAGTTTTGTTAAATTCTAGCACTTTTTCATGTACATGAACTTTTAAATCATTTTTTTTTGTAAAAATCTAAGGATTCGATCACCTACCGTTCTTTACGCTTAATTTTTAAGCTCAAAATGTAAGACATTTCAAAGCAAAAAATCTGTTTCTACATTGAAAAAATAAAATCTTGGTTGACATTTTGATTAAAAAAATTAAACATTTCAATGGAATAAAAATTTGGAATTTATTTTTTATTGCTTCAAGTATTTTCTCGAAAAATAACTGAAACATGTATAAAATAATGATGAGATTTTAATTTTAACCCTCGGATCTGCTTAAGAAAAAATTTGAACTTAAAAAACTCAAGACAATCGAATATTAAGATTTTCGTAAAAAAATTGGTTAAAAGTTGATGTAGATTAAAAAGTGTTAAAATTTAACTAAAAACTATGTTGGGTAATTATATTTAAAAATTAAATTGACAGAGTGAATACATAATTTTGGTTTAAACTGGTTGAGAATAAAGTTTATTGACGGTGGATAATTGCAATTAGTTTTTTCACCAAGTTTTTGCCACTTTTGATCACCCGACTATTACCTTATAGACATTTTTGGTACCCGTTTTTGAAAATTTTCACATTTAGTCCTTCAACTTTCATAAAAGTGACACTTTTGGTCCTTCAACTATTATGATAATGACATTTTTAGTCCCCCACTAAGTGTGCCAAAATCATAATGAGAGAACTAAAAGTATTAATTTGATAATACTTTGAGGACTAAATGTGGGAAACATTGAAATCGGGGACTAAAAGTATCCCTACCACAATAGTCGACGATTAAAAATAGAAAAATTAGAATTCGGGTACCAAAAGTAACATTGAAATAATAGTCGAGGGATCAAAAAAGGAAAAAACTCTTTTTACACCCCATATGGTCTTCAGAAATTTTTTAAAAGTTATATATTACATATTGGTGTCATATTAAAGATCACAAAAATTTATAAAAATTGGTATATTTTTTAAAAAATTTGGAGCAAAAATATGAAAGTTATAGCTATTTAAAAGAAAAAGATGATTTTTTTCTACATTGGCCCCACCTTTTCTTACTCTCCCAGCGAATCTTTCTTTGCTTTTACGCACTTCCTCCGTATTATTGAGAGAGTCGCCAAATGGTTTGGCGGCTTTCTCTAACCCTAGTTTATCCCAACAGTATTTTGGTAAATAGTTTTAACTTGCCCCTAATTTCATAAATATTTTTTTATTTTGCATTATTCTAGAAAAAAACTCAGTGATTCCCAACACAAAAATCCATGAATATTTGATTATAACAAGAGGATAAAAAAAACATTATGTATTTCTCAATAATTTATTTTACTAACATTCTAATTATATTTTACGTCAAATTTGATGGACATAATCTACATTGTATTAAAATGATACTCACAAAAACTCATTAAACTTAATTCAAACTAGAAGCCCTTCAAATAGGGGATGGACTTCGTATATCTCATGGATGTGCACATTGGATGGGTGAGAAAAACATGGAGCATAGGGGTGTTTGGAACTGATTTTGTTTCTGATTCTTTTTTAAAGCAGAAGCAGAATCAGAATTAATTTTCATAAGCTGGTCCACCCAACTTCTAAAAAACTGATTCTAGGAGTAAATTAGAGCATCAAAATCACTTCTGCACTTTCAGTCAAACACTTCAACTTTTGCTTCTGCTCTCTGAAGGAGCAGAAACAATTTAAAGAATTAGATCCAAACACCCCTAGGAAAGCTCCAATTTATGAAATGATTCTTGTTCACAACTTCTTATTAGCGTTTCAACTTCCGCCGGAACTCTATTATTTTGACACCGCATTCCGTGCCAACTTTTGGCGATTTTTGGTTGCTTTAGCTGAACAATACTTGACGTACCTATTCTTATCCATCTTATACCTACCATGTTTGTGAAGTGTTTTCTTTTGTCTGTGAACCCAGTTCACAGATAATATTTTTTCTGTGCAAAATATTGTCTGTGAATCCAGTTCACAGATAATATTTTGTCTATGCAAAATATTGTCTGTGAACCGGGGTTCACAGGTTCACCAACATGGGTGGGTACAAAATGGATATAAAAGTGGGTACAAGCATTATTTTTATTATCTCATTATTGTTATTCTGTTATTACCATTTAGCTAGCCCCTAATTTTGTTTTGCACTTTGTTTGGCTATTGCACATGTCATTAAATATTTGGGAAAATGGAAACTAATAATCCAACCTTTCAGCAGTCTTCTTACAATAGTCCCACCTTTTCAATTTTCAAGAATAATCCAACCTTTGCACCTCATCTTCATTCGTTGGTCCCTGACCGGTTAGTGACCTGCTATTTCAAGTTATTTTCTTATCTTTGCAAAATATTATCTTTGTGAAAGGTGAGATTTACGGTGTAATGGTTTGAAAAGATAAGAAAATAACTTGGAATAACAGGTCATCAACCGGTCAGGGACCAATGAATGAAGATGAGGTGCAAATGTTGGATTATTCATGAATAACGAAAAGGTGAGACTATTGTAAGAAGACCGCTGAAAGGTTGGATTATTAGTTTCCATTTTCCCTAAATATTTTAACTTTATACAATACGAAGTATATAGCACCGCCCCGAAAGTTCAAATAAAGATGGCCGCCCTTGAAACACCTCACTCAGAAAATGTTTGAGATTGTAACGTGATTTACCAATTCACCATTTTGTCGGGTCAAAAATTCACCATTTTTACGAATCCAGTTTTTTGGATTGAATCAAGGACGGCGGGTTTCAACTTTTGACACCCATACCAAATGTGGAATCAAACACAAACTCGACAATATTTAGATAATAGAATGAACAAATTAAAGCACACGAAATTGTATAAAATAAAAGTGTTCAGTGCCGAAGAAATTTTAAGTTTGGGAGAATGTAACACTCGATGATAAAAATTAAACCACACATTGTCTTATAATTGGTAATAACTACTCCGTAGAAAATTTCCACGCGTAGAGAATTAATTTTTTGTTGTGTTGAGTCGCTGCAGAAGGTAATCCACTTCAACGTCTTTGGTCAGAGGTATCACAAAATTTTCATATATAGCAGAAGCGTTTAATTTTGGAGCAATGGTGTTATTTGTGCACTTTCTCAACTCTGCCGCCTTAAGCCCTACTCGGTTTATGACGCCCCTTTCAACATTTGTATCTGTTATTAGCCTCATCAGTTCATCCTTGTTCTGCAATCATTTGTTCCAAAAGCATTTTTCAATCTTCACACCCTCAATTATTTGTTCCCGAAATAGGACTAAAATAGTTTGAAAATTTCAAAATGAGACTGTCATGTTTTTTATTCCCAAAATATGAGTAATTACTGCAAGTTTGGAAAATACTGTCATGTTTGAAGTCTGGTACTGCCAAAACATGACAGTAATTAGTCATATTTTGGGAATAAAAACATGACAGTCCTATTTTGGAATTTTCAAACCTTTTTAGTCCTATTTCGGGTAATATTCTCTAATATCTAACCTATTTTTGCACATCCCTATATGTTTTACTCCGATCCCAAATTAAAGATAGTTTGTAATTAGTTCAGAAGGCCTCACATACTACGTAGTATTTTCCCAAATCCCAACCCTAAATTGATACATGGTATATATGTAGCCATTGATAGCTAAAAATCTTTTGAATCCCAAATTGAAAACGTGGTTACAAATGCCCTTTTTAGACGAAGTATGGTTTATTAGATTTGACCCATTTGTCTATAACTTTAAACATATTCAGCATTTAAATTGTTACAAATTTAGTAAATATCAAAAGGTTCGATCACTATGGACATTTAGAGTTGGTTTAGCAGTGCTGAAACTTGCAGGATCAACTAACTATACTAAAATTGTTGAATTGTGACTGAAACAGATTAATTTTGTTAATTTAGGATGTTTTCTTTTGGACTGAAATTTGCTGGTCTGGTCTGGTCTGGTCTGATCTGGTCTGGTCTATTTAAGTCTGGTCTGGTCTGAACTGGTCTGGTCTGGTCTGGTAAACGTCTGGTCTCTGTGTATTTTATAACTATCCAAGTCTGGTCTGGTATGGTCTGGTCTGTTTAAGTTTGGTCTGATCTGGTCTGATCTGGTCTGGTCTGGGACTGAAAACAGTCCTAAAGAAAACATCCTTATTTTGAAATAAATTAACAAAAAAGAAAATGTTACATGAAAAATGCTAAAATAATCATTTTCAAGAAATTCAGTAACAAAAAAAAAAAGGGATAAGGGTCAGATAGGGCCTCGAACTTCGAAAAAAATGTCAAATAAGGCCATATTTAGGCTGCTATGTCCGGCTAACGCCATTTGGGGCGGTTCCTGGTGGAATTTTTTGATGATTTTTTTTAGAATCTTATTCATTAAGTCTAGTTTACTCATATCAAATTTGAATTACCAATTCAATCGGGAAGACATTCAAATGAATTCTTGAAGATAATTGCGCTTTTAACTGCACAGTTATCTTCAAGAATTCATTCGAATGTCTTCCCGATTGAACTTTTAGTTCAAATTTGATATGAGTAAACTAGACTTAGTGAATAAGATTCTCAAAAAATTTCATCAAAAAATTCCATCGGGAACCGCCCCAAATGGCGTCGGCCGGACAGAACATCCTAAATATGGCCTTATTTGACATTTTTTTTCAAGTTCGAGACCCTATTGATCCTTATCCCAAAAAAAAGCTCCACCCTTGACTGTTTTGGTAATTGATGAACAAGGGAGCGCGTGAATTAGAAGTTTGACGTTTGGTGGAAAAGTTGATTAGCGGAAAAATGAGTTTATAAACGAGTTCTTACTTCTTAAATCACTAATTTCATTAATATCTACAGATCAGTTAATAGATTATTGAATGTATTACTTTTTTACTTTTTCTAATATTCAAGTTTTCTTGCATATTCAGGTGAAGTGAGAAGGTTATCTGCCAACCTTGTATTAAGTTATTTCACACCAGTCACACACACAAATACAAACTAACAACATTTGAGGGCGCTCCAAGCCTCCAACAATCAATTTGATCTCAACAAGCCTCAATCTCAACATGGAGCACAACATTGGTATGCTCAAATGAGCCGCCATATGGAGGGGGCATTAAGCTATCCCGCATAAGCCGAATATAAATCAACAAACTAACATGTAAAGCATTGGGCTCCTCATATCAAATTGATCTTTTAAGAAGGAACTTCAAAACTTAATACCTTACACTCTTACAGGTTAAAGATATTTTGTTTGACTGAAATATTATGGTGTTGTAAGTTCTTATCTACCGTAGTCTGATCTATCCTAATGTGGTCTGATTTATGTAAGTCAGATCTTGTATGATTTAATCCAAACTGATCTCATAATTGTAGTATCTATGTACTCCGTATAATTTACTATTATTGATGTCTCGTTTGTTCTAATCTAGTTTGATCTCATATAAGATTGAATAAGTTTAATTCACGTACCCTACGAGTAATGTAGTCATTATAATCTTGCGGAGCATCAGTATACTTGGCCTCGGCAACAAATTTTCCGTCATGAATCCTTCTAGAGAGTGCCTTCGAATGCAAAAAAACACGTCATCGGATTATTACTCACACGAAGACGAAGTACAACAACAAATCTATGCATGGAGTTTGTGAAAGTGGGAGAATAGTATTTGTTTACTTTAAACTGTTCATTTGGAATTTGGATTTTAGGTTAGCTCAAATTTTGTATTATCAATTTCTTGATCATGATTTTAAAAAAATCTCACTCGTAAAATCTATAATACATCGGAATGTGGGCTTATATTCATATGTTTTGCTCCGTATAATCTATTAAGATTTGCTCATTCCGTAATTATAGAGTACGTGTTCAGTACGTGTTCAGTATAATTTGACAAGATTTTCTCATTTTGGTAATTTGCTCATCATTTGACTTATATCTAATTAGTTTGACACAAATATGGCCTGATTTGTGTATGTATAGTCTGATATGCTCTGATTTGAACTAGTTTGATATGTGTTTATTGTGTGTGTATAATTGACAACTTTCATAATATAATCTGGTCAAAAATGTGTTTAAGTCTGATATAGTCAAGTTTGATTTGACATATCTTAGACCGAAATTAATCTAATTAAAATTTCCCTCAATATATATCCACACGTTTGTTGTTTAAAAGATGGTTTCGTTGTCCGATCTTTTATCATTCTTGAGAAGATAACAATAGCCCGTTTTGTGATCATATTTTTCAACTTCTTAGTTATATCCGTCAATTTTTTTCACCAAATATAAATTTTTTATTATGTGCGCTAAATTGTGTAACAATCAAAACAAGGTTGAAATTACTTTTTTGTCTAAATTGACTGAAGTTAATGTAGAAGACCGTTTTAGTTATTTTCATATATGTTTTTTTCTTTTTTATTAATAATATACAGAAATTACCCTAAATAGGAGTAAAAACGTTTTGAAATTCCAAAATAGGAGTATCATGTTTTTTATTCCCTAAATAGGAGTAATCTGCCAAGTTTGGAAAAAAATGCCATGTTTAAAGCCTTGTAATTTCCAAACTTGGCAGAAATTTACTCCTATTTAGGGAATAAAAACATGATACTCCTATTTTGGAATTTCAAAACTTTTTTACTCCTATTTAGGGAATTCTCTCAATAATATACAACGGATGTTTTAAATATTATTTTTCATAATCCAAAAGATTTAGCCAATTCAGCTATTTCAGATAGAACTTCATCAACTTCAACAAAATCGGCCGACTATGCTAATTATAATGTTACCAGATGGGATCTACACCTTAACTAAGTTCCTGTTTAGTGAGACATGTTTTCGGCTTATCATCCTTATCACCTAATTTTTCACAAAACATGTAACTTTTTGATTTTGCACGTTGATATGTGTAATGATCAAAATAATTAAGTAAGGTTGGAGACTTGGAGTTATTTTTCTGTCTCAATTGGAAAAATTTACTAAGGGAGTGTTTGCAATTGCTTCAACTTTAAAAAAGTAATTTTTTAAAGTGATTTTGGAAAAAGTGATTAATAGTAAAAGTTGGTAGTGTTTGAAAAAAAAGTGATTCTGAAAAAGTAAAAGTTGGTAATGTTTGGTAAAATAAGTACTTTTGTGTAATAGAAAAAGTGAGAAGCAGTTTAAAGCTCCCTTCTACCTGCTTCCAGCTTTTAGCTTTTAAGTGATTAATTTAAGCAGAAGCTGTCATTTGAAAACACCATTTTCAGCTTTTTTTAAGCCAAAAGCTGAAAAACACTTTTTTTAAGCAACCTCAAACACTCCTTAAAGATGATCATGTTTCATGTAACTTTTTTATATTAATACAATACGTATATTTTAAATATTCCGTGCAATTTTTTCATAATTTACATATTTAATCAATTCAATCTCAACTTAAGCAATTTTAGTATAAAAATAAGCCGATTCGACTTATTTCAGTATTACTAAACGGACTCTAAATTTACATGAGGGGTTACACATGTACACGCTACGCCATTAATCATCTAATTAAATGAGTTAATTAAATTACCTGCAAAACTTGTAGGTCGCTGGTAGCAGTGGTTGTGTAGTTCTCATCTTCACCCGGCATCACAAATAGGGGAAGAACTTCACTTACATACTTTTCCAGAATGTCTCCATTATTATTGATGGATTTGCCGGCTGGATGCAAAAACTATTGTCGATCGTATATGAAAGCCCAGCAGTTGTTTAAAGTTAGTTAATCATAATCAATTATCCATTATTAAAAAGTTCCATACATAAAAAAGGTCTGTTCGAATCGCAAAAATCAAATTCATCAAATACAATAAAACTTAGATACTCAAATTTATAAACAAAAAATTGTATTGACAAAACATCCCTTGCATGCAAATCATCATAAGATAACTACTGAATCAAAAACACCAAAGTCTAATATAATAAAGGAAGATTACATTTGTACACAAAATTTGTACGTATACCCATTCAAGGTTGTTTGTGTATTTATATACAACAAGAATTACCCGTATAATAATAGGCGGGCTATGTAAGCCCGGCCCGTCCCAAATATAAGAAAATTTGTACTTATTAATGGGGGAAGTGTAAAAATATTTCAGATTTTTTTTGTACTGACACAATTATTACCGGAATACACTTCCTGTCTGGGACCAACGATGCTTGCTGGGACAGACCATCGGGAAAGAAAGGAAGTTCGTCTAGAGATAAATATCTTCCCATCTGTTATCACAAATAAACTATTATACTCGATAAACAACCATGTAAAAAACAATTACCAAGATACAAACCATCCTTTGGCTAGTAGCTAAGTAGCTTTATGATTAAATGCCCATTTGGTAATTGGTAATACTAAAAATCTAAAAATCTAATTTGTGATTCTAAACTACTTCTAGTTGTCATATTATTTTAATCAACCATATAGTCCATATTTTTGTTTCCAACATCACGATGGTCTAATGGTTACTTCGACAAGTCTTTTTAACTTTAAACCCAATAAGTTTTACAGAAACGGATTAAGTATGTTTTTTCTCAAAATATACGGAGTAACTTATTTACTCTTATTAACAGTGTCGGATCTTGCAATTAAATGTTGGGTGTTCGAAATTACTTTACCATTAAGATGTTATCTAATAGTACAATACATAAATTATTACATCAATTCTATACATGTATTTTTACACTTAATTTTCAAAATTTTGGGTGTTCACATGAACACCCTGAATAAAGAAGGTCCGCCACTGCTTATTAAAACAATAAAATAATAAAAACCAATTCTCAAAATACATACTCCGTATGAGTGAAAGAGCTTTTACCTTAATAGGACTAAAACAGTTTTTTTTCAAAATCGTATCAATTACTTTAAACAACCTCAAATATGACTTTTATTTGTGATTGAACCAAAATACCCTCACTGTTGCCTGTCCTCGACCACCTGCTGCCACCGCCGGCGCTGCTGGACCTCCAACTGCCGGAAAATTTCTAGGATTTTTTCTGACGGTCAGCCAACATTTCCGCCGCTGCCGCCACCAACAGATTGACTTGGTTGTGCAAGAGAACGGGGGCAATTAATGGTATTAATTAATTAATTAATTAATTAATTCAATTAGGGATAAAAATGGAATGATTGGTCACGTTTAGGGAAAACAAAATATTACTCCATATGTGTTATTTTTGGAAGAAAGCTATGTTTTAGTTCATTAGTAATTTTCTCATGAGTGAATGAGTAAATAGCGACACTCCTATTTGAGAAAATGTGTTTTATTTTATTCTGATTTAAAAAGAGAGTTTTCTCTAAATTTCAGCCAACTAGATAGATTCCCAACTGAATATGTTTTATAGCGCTTTAATATTTATCAACTAAATAAGTATTCCATAGAAAAACTAAATAAGTAATAAAATTGTACGTTAGTCCAAATTAAAATTCAAGTACGAATTGATGTATATTTAAGTGAATAAAATGAGTTTGTTTAACTCAAAAAATTTAATTTTGTAACTCAATTTGAGTGGGTAATAAATATTACGGTTCAATTCTAACATATAGGAGTATAAAATAAAGTCTGGAGCCGATTCTTACACTGAAAAAGTCAATAATAGGATGTGTACTTCGTATTAAGTTGGCCGAGACCAAAGAAAATCAAAGATCGGCTATTTCACGGCACAAAACCTTTTTTAGGTTAATGAAGAATTATTAACAAACTGAGCCAAATTATTCTAATTCAGATTCGAAGACGAGTTGATTTTTAAGTTCGAACGTACATTTGAGCTAAGCTCTATCATAAATGTATTCGGCTCGATTCGAGACTTCGAGCTGGAGTTTATCGAACACCTTGAAACTATATGACAAATTAGGTATACATTAAAATTTAAATGTACCCCGCAAAAAAATGTAATTAATGTGATTTTATAAATTTAAATATTAGTATTAACGAATCGAACACTTGTTGAATAACTCGAAAACAAGCCTATTAAAGAGTGTAATCTACGCTTTTAATTTTGAACCGATTTGGCAAGCTTATGGAGCGTACCGTTCAAAAATAAAAAATCTGCCGAACTCATTTGTAAAGCTCGTCGATCAAACTCGAACATCACTATTAGGCTAACTGCAACCTGTTTCCGTCAATAAATTATATTACCCACTAATTTATACGTATTCAATCCGTCAATTCAATTTTTACTGCAATCTTGCACTGTCAATATATTTAGCCATCAAAGTTTTCTTTAATTAAAGCTTTCCTTTTTATTATAATTTAACTTTTTGTTAATCAGTTTTTGAGAATAATTATGATATTGAAAATAAATTTGGAGTTTAATTTTTTATTGTTAAATTATACCAATTTTTGAAGAAGAAAAAAACTGAAAGATAGTAAAAAATTATTTTTATCACGTGACCTAAATTTTAACATTTGGATCTACTTAAAAAAAATAAACATAAAAATGTAAAACCAATGAAATTTCATACTTTTATTTTTTAAACTTTATATGTATGATATTGGTGTCATATGAAAGGTCGTAAAAAATTATGAATTTTAATATACTTTTTATAAAATTTGAGATACAAATACAAAAGTTATAATACATACGTAGTATAAGATATTTGGGGTTTCCAAATTTCCTACCCAACTGAAATGCCATGGGCGAGTGTAGAGATGGCAATTTCGGCCGACCCGTTGGATACCCGCACCGAACTGATTTGGTCAAACTGGGGAAAACCGGTTTGCTGGGGAATGGGTATGGGGCGGAAAATACCCGAATTTTTTAAATGGTTAATATATGGTGCGGTTATGGTTCTATACTAATCTGCCCTGTTATCCGCCCTGAAACCGCCCCGTTCACTAATGGTGCGGTTACCCGCACCGTTACCTGATCCGTAACATTATTAATGAACTATAACTTTTTATATATAAGAATAATAGGTTATATGCTAAATTGTGTATACTAAACAGTATATATCATATAAATAACGCTAAAAAGTATACTACTTTTTAGGCCTAAAACTAAATATAGGCCTAAACCTGTTTCTGGAATTTGGATTCTGGGATGATTACTAGTTACTACCTTTTTATTATGTTACAAGAGATATTAGGTGCATGTCACACTAATGGATTTAGGCCAGTCTGCTTGATTGCTTAAATATTTACTTCTGTATGTTTTAGGGTGCTTTGAATATATAAATAACAAGTAGGATTAGAAATTGGTTATTTATTTTCCGAAAAAATGGTTATTTGACATCATTTGGGGAAACGGTTACCCGTGGATAAACCGATTCCCCGTTGGGGCGGATACGGTTCAAATAAAAATGACCCGAATGGGTAATGGGGCGGTTTTGGGGCAAACATTTATCCAACGGGGCGGTTTCGGTTTTATGTGTACCTGTCCCCGATCCGCTCCGTTGCCATCACTAGGCGAGTGTACTGCTGCAGCGAACTCTTTCTGGGTGAATAAGCTGCGTAATACCCACTCCATCAGTGCTATCCAACGAGCTTTGGCACCGACCAAGAAATACATGGACTGCAGCATTTATTGGGGTGAAAGGATTAAAATTCGCTTGTCACCGTGTGGCTTGCCGACAGCCTTAGGTTACCGAAGCAAATCAAACTTGAAGTCTGCCTGTTCAGATTCAGTTCAGGCGTTTAGCTTGGCTCGGTTCGTTAACAACTCTAAGTAGAACACAACACCCCGGCCCATTCAGCGGCGGACGCAGGAATTTCCGATAGCAGGCATGGGCGGCAGTACAAAAATATACATACAAATACATATACATTTAAAATTTCGGGGTGATAAATATACTTAGAATTTTTTTTGGAGGGGCAGCAGCCCCCTTTGTCACCCCCTGTGTCCGCCAATGACCCCATTCGAATGCAATAACCGTGAGACGCGCTTATTTGTATCTTTTCCATACGCATACGGTATATAGATAGATTTGTGAATTTGTTATAAATTAGAGTACCCACATTGTTTTCATGAGTACCAATGTTTGTGTATTCATTATCATATTTTTATTCCTTAAATAAGAATAATTATTATCATATTTTAGCAATAACAAGCTTTAAACATGAAGCACTTTTTAAGTTTGACGATAATTACTCATATTTATTAAATAAAAAATGACTGTTGTTTCAAAATTCTCAATCGTTTTTACTGGAAAATATTGTATACTCTCATCCATCATAGTAATGATCACTGACCTTAGATTGAAGAATTTCGCTCTGTTTGACGAAATACTCGAACAGAGACCCCGAACCGTCAAGTTTAAACAGCGTAGATTTATTATCGTACAACTGGGCATTCATTGGGTGCTTGGCTCTCTCCATGAGGCTCAAAATGATGGTGTCTTCTTGCCGCACCAGGCTCTCGCGAACCGAATCCAGGGTCATCACTTTGCCATTATTATCACCGGAAGAACAGTCGGCGGCAGCCGGCATCATTTTTCCGGCAAGACACAAACCCACAAAGAACAACGCCATTGCAGCAATGGTTTTTTGCGACTGTGACTTCATGGATGTGGCCGAAGAAGAAGAAGAAGAAGAAATGTATGTGCATATACGTACGGTGAAAAGATTATACGAAGAAATTACTTACTACGTATTTATCTTATGGTAACCTTTTTTTACTCCGGTAATTTCTCCTTAACTTCAAATGGTTGTCGACTTGTCGCCATAGTTTTTCAACCTCGATTCAATTGGAAAGTTCCTACAAAATGTATAGCTTTTTTTTTGCATTTAAAATTAAAGTTGCTATTAAACCTGAAAATAATAAAATTATGTTAGATTCTATGATGCCTAAAATGTACCATACCTTTGTTCACATGGATCAATCAGAATGTTTCAGTTGAATTATTTAAGTCTAAATTAAAAATGATATACTTATTTGGACCAATCAAGTGAATGATAGGTACGATACTCCATTTTTTAAATGGGACCGGAGTACATAAAATTATTCCTGCAATAATATCACCATAATCACTTTACTTTTGAAATAGAAGTAATATATCCCCGTCTCAAATTAATTTGTAAAGTTAAAAATTTTTATCAACTAATATTAAAATTAAATTCCATCTATAGATAATTAATTAAACTTTTATAATAAAAATTTGCATATTCAGAAGTAAAATTGGAATCTCTATAAAGTCGCAAAATTCAAATTAAATATAATTAAAAATTGATATCATAATTAAGTAAATAAAATAAAACTCTTTGATATAAGAAGTAGATCCGCTCGACTTTGTAAATCTATTTGGGATGGAAGAAGTACATTCTCTTTTTCTATTCTATTCTCTTCATATGATCCCTTTTTATTAATAAGACTTACTCCCTATTTTATTAATAAAAAATCATGGTTTTATTTATAATATAAACATAAAAAAGTAATTAAAATATTTCTAAATTAAAAGTAGTTAATACTCCGTAATAATAACGTAAGCAAATATACAATTAAATGAAAATTAAAAATAAATAAAAACTTTAAAAATAAAAATATAATATATCTAAAAATATAAAAAATACATACAGGCCTCTGCCGCTGCATCTTCCACCTCCCAACATTGCCACCCCGATCGTTGAAAAAACGTCATCTTGTATAAAAAAATGTCATATTTCTCTGAACAGGAACACACACAATTAACTAGATAAAAAAGAAATGAACTTCTTTTATACATCCAAACAACCTAAAAAAATAATACAATATAATTCAAGGAAGCATGTCTTTAGATAATAAAAAATATTAATTATTGCATCATTTATGTTAAAAATATTAATTATTGCATAATATCAAGAAGAAAAATATTATTAAATACGATAGTAAATATGACTAAATATACTATGAATACAACATCGCAAAAGTTATACGTATAACGTATGTATAATCTAAAATTGAACATTATAATAATAACTACCGTAGTTACTTCTATTAGATGTCACATTTTCCTCTATCACCTTTATTTGTGTTTGTATGTTCTTATTTTTTACGATTGCCTAACTGTCGATTGCCTGTTTATTATAACTTCTAAAGTTGAATTTTAACTATCAATCAGCTTTAAATTAAGTTCAATATTATAAAATGTCAAGGAAACTGTATTTATTTTCAACCTGCATAATAATGGTGATAAAGATCTTTCTTTGGTATTAGTTTTTTTTCTTTTGGTATTAGTTGATGTAACATATTTTTAATCATGGCAGTTAAAGATTTCAAGTAGAGTACATCCTCGTTCCTTTTAAATCTTTTAATTTAATTAATGTAAAGTTTTTTAATCATGTTATATACTCCGAAATAATTAGTCTACCTCTTTTTTTTTGGAAAATTAGTCTACCTCTTTTTTTTGGAAAATTAGTCTACCTCTTTATTACTTTTTGAACATATTACAACCACTTTTCAGGAGTCCGCATAATGTTTTTAGAATAACTCATAAATTTGGAGTAAATCACCATTTGCCGATAATTTCCGTCAGCTTTTAAAATCACTTTAGAAATTCACTTTTGGGTGGAGCTAGGGTACACACAACTTGTACACAAATTTTGTACACTTGTCTGTCTCTCACAGACAAGTTGTCTGTCTCGAGATGAGTTGTCTGTGAGGGACAGACAAGTGTACAAAATTTGTGTACAAATTGTGTGTACCCCAATCTTTTTTCTTCACTTTTACTTACATTACGTTACACTTGTGTTTGGTGGTCAAACGTAGGAGATCTTCCCTAATTGCGCGCATTTCGTTTCAACACATTAAATTTTCAACATTATTAATCACCATTGACATAATGTCGGAGTCCCTCCTAGGGGTGGACTGGGACGGGCCTACCTGGACCGCTACCTGACCCGGCCTACCAATGTGCAGGCCCAGACCGGCCCGATTGACCGGGACCCAACTGGTAGAAGAAAGAGGCGGGCATCAAGCTCATATTTTGGTGACTGGCCCGGTCCGGGCCTAACGATCATCAATTATTATTTTTTGTATTTATTCCCATTGGGCTTGCTGCTAGGTGGGTGGGGCTAGCTAGCAGTTGGGGGGTTTGGGAGTGGGGTTGGGTTGGAATTAATTTGAAAATACAAATTTAACAAAAAGTTAATTAAGGCTCAACCTGACCCGGACCTGACCCATTCCACCCCTCCCCTGCATATATATATCACTAATCCTCTACCCATAGTGGTACCTTTCATTTTATATATCAATAGTGACACTTTATGCTTTGAATAAAATGACTGCAATGATTTTCATATAAAATGAGGGTATAGTGCTTCAAACGTATCATAAGATTTGTCTTTTTATTATATAATCACAAAATCAAAATAATAATCAAAACCGGGTAATTTTGTTATGTGATTGATCACCATACTGATGGTGTTAACGTTTCGTTATTCAAATGATTGTTTTTTGTGCTTATTGTAAATCCAATTCTTATTAGATTCCGCAAATTAGTGTTTTTCCACTAATGATGGTTGAGTTTCAACGCACTATATAACTAATAACAAATATATGTAATTGCACCCCGGATCTCACGTACAAATCCCATGTCCAAACTACATACTATCGATACATACTATCGATACTACCGGTTCGGGCCGCCCGGCCCGGGACCGGCCCGGCCCACCACTGTGCGGGCCCGGAACCGGCCCGGTTCTCGGGTCCGGGTCGGGCCTAGGCCCGGTGGGGGGGCGGGTCCGGGCTCGGGCCTTGTATTTGGCGAACCGGCCCGGCCGGGCCGGGCCCGGGCCGAATTGATTTTTTTTTTTTTTTTTTTTTCATTTTTTGGGGTTAGCCGGGTTTGGGGTTAGGAGGGGTTTGGGGGGGTGAGTGGGGGGGTTAGGAAAGCAAAAAAAAATATGACCGAACCGGAGGCCCGGCCCGGCCCGGACCCGGTGGCTACCCAGGCCGGTCCCGGGCCTTCCTTCCCAAAAAAAAGCCCGGCCGGTCCCGGGCCTTCCTTCCCAAAAAAAAGCCCGGCCGGGCCCAGCCCGGAACCGGCCCGGAACCGGAACCGGCCCGGCCCGGGTCCATGACTACTCAGCATCAATATTGCATTATTGCTCTTGCCAAACAAATTGAAGAAAGCAGTTAATAATGAACTTATGATGGCAACTAAAAATAACTTCATAAACAGACCAGACTACTCACCAGAGTCTCTAAATATATTTAGAGAATATGACACTTTTGTTAGTACCCTATTATCCATCAATTTCATACATTGTCGATTCCAAACAATAAATAACATTAGTTACTTGTCCATAAGAAAAATCAATCGAAGATGGTTTAACCTCCTAGCAGATTTAGAGAGGCATGATCCTTTATGATACTGGATTTAAGGGATAGTTAGAGGTTAAGAAAGAAATCTGACATAAGGTTATAATGTACATTGTATATCTGTGGAACTTAATAACGGCTATTTAACTTATTTTTGCTAATCCATACTATTTAACTTAAAGGCACATATTAAAGTGTATATAATACCCAATTTTATAAACAAAAATACAAATAGATAGATTAATTTACAAAAAAAAATGCAAATGCATATAGCCAAATGGCACGGTACAAGATAATCACTTTAACCATTTAGATTGGTTTGGTATTGATCTGGTGTGAATATATATTAACCCATTTGACAACATGTAAATCATTCATGTACCGTTACAGTCCGGTACCATGCTTTTATGTTTTTTTCCCCAACTTGCAATATGGTAAATTTACATTACAAAATATACATTCAAGCAGTAAGAGTTCATCATAATCTAGCAGTTTTGACTATGTCAAGAAAACCAGCGAAAATAAAATGATAAACAAAACTAAAAGAAAACAGATCATCATAATCTGACCCTTCGCACCTGCCTTCTTCATTACTACAGCAACCTTTTTCTGCAACCAAAGTGCAATTTCAAACATAATTACGGATGTGCTTATGCAGAGTTTGGATTAGTGGTGCGGTATACCTTAATTCCAAAATGTTTAAAAATGGTAATCACAGTTAGGGCTTCTAAACTTAACCCTAAAAATCTTAACTAATTACCTGAATAAAATCAAGACGGGTGGATGTGCTATCCAACTCTGAACCCAAATCATCAATAATCTTTTCCTACAGTTTAAATACATAACAAATTACTTAACCCACAAGATATTATGAAAAGTAACTCATATAAACAGCTTATGCATTCAAACTAGTCATAGCCTTCTACTGAGAAACTATGAGCCTATTGGGTAATGCTTGATCTGGCTGCTAAAATTGTGAATGGATGGATATGTTGAGTAAAAAAAACAAACACATGTTCACACGTATATAAAAATACATATTTAAATATATTAATAAAAATAATATCTAAAAAAAAAGCTAGAAGCAACCTTTTCAACAATTCCAGCCAAAAAAACTAGCTGAGAAGGTTAACAAGTCAAAAATTGCACCCATGAATGGGCTCTTAGGATATATAGCTAACCTGTCCAAGAAGTTCATCATGAATAGTGAGCCCGACACCTCCTATTCTTTCTATGCTAGCACTAAGCTCATCCAGCTCTTCATCTTGTTGCCTGCACAGAAGAACCCACACTCCATGATGAGAAAAAGACACTTATAAAGTAGAAATACCTCAATAGACAAAAAAGCCATGTTCCATACTGTATGTTGAGAATAGGAAAAGCATGGATGAATAATCAAACCATGAACCAAGCTTCATAAAAAGAAGATTACTTTATGAGAAGTAATTGTGTGTCAGATTCTGATGATATAAAATCATCATTATAATGATTGGTGTACTGGTCGGTTCTGCT